GAAAGCACATTTAATACCCCTCACCAATCGTGGCTACCGTACGATGCCGGATGAAAGTCATATCTTTTGTCCAATGGATCGGTGCCAAGAGACGCTGCAGCTGGGTGGGTGCTGGCGTGTGATCATTGGCTGACTGGTAGCAGGCTGGAAGTTCGTTTAGCAGCTAGTAACCGGCGAGAGAACAATATAGAACCCTGACTCTTTTCGGTCTTTGCACCCAAGTACTGCAATTGAAATGCGTGAGCTTCGAAAGAATCAGCGTGGGATCATTTATAAGCGCAACAGCTGCATTGACTGCATCTTCGTCGTCAGCGGAGTCACGTTTGTAGTAATTGACGTAGACAGTGATAGGTTCTGTGGGAACCACGGTAGGGGAAGTGGGAGAGGTCATCAGAGACAGCGGAAACAGCGGCCAAAAGCGTTTAAATGCTGGCAGGCCACGTTCCGATGGGGATATTATCTGTAACATCGCCGAAGTTAAGTGAGTCGTAGAAAATGTAAAAAGGAAAGACACTGCAGAAAATCTATAAGGCCATCCAGTCGGACAGATACCGCGGGAAAGTTCCAAGTCATGATAGCGAGTTCAGTGAGTAGGTGAATGTGCCACCCACCGTAGTCTGAATATATACTCATATTACTCATGTAGAGCGGTTGATGACCACTGTCATTGTGTAAGAGTCTATGACTTCTTGACTGGTCTCACGCCCGCCCCCTCTCGCATGTGTCTTTGATTATCTGGTCAGTGCCAACAAGCTCTATTCCGAGGACTCGACTAAAATGGGTGTGAAAGCGAAGATAATGATCAATCGGTTTGACTCGCCCATCAAGCTCAGATAGAAGCGATCTACAACCTATCTATCGTATGTTGAGTTGGAGTTAAACATACGAGCGACTCTGACATGTGACTCTTACCTTTGGCTTCTTTCATCATCGCCTGACGGTCGGTGGTAGAAGCAGGTTTCACTCGTCAGCGAGTGCGGGCAACACAGTATTACAGTCACTGGTGAAAGTGAGAAACAGTGCAGGATAAATGATACTGGCGTCCATAAAATACGTACCTTCAAGTGACCCGGTCAAGTCGGAGGATTGTGCGCGTGCCAAGTTCAAGAGTAGAGGCTCGCATCAGAGTCTGCGACGCGTTTATGGTCAAAGGATCATTCTTCAAAAAAGTCGAAAGCATGGTAAAGCTGATACCTGGCAATAGCACGCTGAGCCCGCCACGCCATCGACAATGAGCAAGAAGCATAGAAATTCTATTCTATTCTATTGTTACGTATCATGATGTAGAGCGTACGAGAATATTCTCAAAAAAAGATTCCTAATAAAGAGAACTAGGGTTAGGGTTAGGACGGCAAAACAGCAAAAAGCAAGGCCCACCCAGCCAGAGTGGCCGTGGTGGGACGGGAAAATATTGAGACGGTGCATGAGCCGAAGCCCATACAAACCGCAGACACCCTCTGAGGACAAGGTCGCCGTGCTATGAAAGGTCTTCACGGCCCACGAACCTGAGACATGAAGAAGCCTGTGCCATCAAGGTAAGTATGAAGAATCATAGTCCTATCCGGTCAGATTTTATACTGGGCTGAGCGTGCACGGACCATCCATTTGCGTGAGAGCAACAGCGCTAAGCGCATCTCTTCATTTAGTCGTTTCTCAAGCTCTCAGTCACAATCATTCTTGTAATCTTCGTGGTTCACGTCTCTTCATCATTTCATCTCATGCCGATTGACTGGACTGGAGATCAATCCGTCGTGTTTGCGTATATCGCTTCGTAGACAGGTTGACCACTAAGAAAGAATTTAATACGGCCACTTTAACCGTGGACTAGCTATAGGAAACCTCGGACAACAACCTATGGTGGTTTGCTTCCTCACAGACAAGAGTATTCTGTGGTGCGTATCCTCTTATAAGTCATCTGCCATAATTCAACTTTCATGAATTACATAGTGCAACAAAATGTGATGTACTTGCGCTGATCTTTGTCGACACTGTCGAATCTCGATCTCGGAAGTAGCGGTTCACAGTACTACGAAAATCTCACCACGAGGTCGCCGGGAGCCATTTCCGACACACCCAGGCTGTCGTTCTTTTCGGTAATCATTCATCAATAAATCAAGCCAGTGGCATCCGAACTGTAAAGTCACAATTACATTGCGGTAAACACGCGTTATTATAGTAGAGGCGGTTCAAGCCAAATTTACTTGCTATAGAATCGTTCACTATGACTTCTTGAGGATCTGCTCAATCGATTACTCCCGCAACTGCCTCGTCCTCGATATTGAGTGTACTGCACGGCGGTGGTCTTTCAAGCCAACCTGTTGTGAATAGGAATATGAGCGAGAGAGATTAGATGAACGTCTCGTTGTTATTTCTCGCAATAGGAGATGTAAGGGTGCGCATTTCGTGCAATTGTGTAAGTTCCGCGTTTATAGCTTCCTCCCACTTTGACCAGTTTACTGATGCTTTCGCTTCATTCAGTGTATGTGGTTCGGTAGGATCGAAGCTGCCATTATCAGCTATGGCTTTCATTATAACGTCCGCTTCTGTTTGGGTTAGCTCTATTTCTTCCTCATACCGCTTTCGTCAAGGTAAGCCCATTCTCTAGCTGGATCGTTTAATTGACGACAATTTTGCCTTATTACTTTTCTCCGAGTTCTTCTGGGCAGTGTATCTTCAGGTGAGCGAGTCCGTTTTCTACTTGGAGAATCGTTTCTAACGGTTCTTCCTCTAGATGAGTTCTTATTCTCGTCACTTTGTGATATTGGTACGTCATCCTCTACCATGCGTTCATTTTTATTTTCGAGTGGTTTATTAGGTGTCCGCACATCAGCTCCCCCTGGTGGCTGCGTGTCTATACTACCTATCTCCCCCTCGCGCTGCACATCAGGCACTTGTCGGGGAAGTTCTTTATGTAAGAATCTATAGTTCCTACTTACTCGGATTTGACATGTTTGGATAGTGAGTGTATCAGTAATACAATATGATGTCATCAATCGTTGACCAACTATAGGATAGTACTATGAGCACATCACCTGTCAGACCCTCCCCAGCGAACGTTCTAAGGTTCCTTCACTTAGCTGCCGGTGATACGTAAAAATGACTTTTGTAGACTCTGTCATCATCCACATAAGGGTGTCTCCGGGTTTGACGGTTCAGGGGTACTCCGAGAGTCATTTCTCACGAATGCATAGCCGCAACGTCGGGCTTGCCTTCTGTGTAGAACTCGTTGAAGTCAGCTGGTTCATATCCTCCTCACCAGGAGACGGGGCACTTGTGATTTCACAGCCTCGGGTGGCGCCGGGACTAGTGATTCACAACCGGTTTGGTGTCCTGAAATCCCGCGACGCAGCCTTTGAAATCATCGTATACTCCCGGCATGACTTTTGCCATACTGACCGATGGCTCGCGTTCTTTCAGGCGCACATTCGAGGTATAAAGGTATGGACCCGACACACAATCTAGGCATTCAACAAGTCACAATGTTCTCTCAAGTTCTCACTGCTCGCGCTGATAGCATCGCTCGCCATTTCGAGACGGTCTTCCTTTTTACAAAAAATGATATCAGAACCACTCTGATACCTGTCGTATGTGCAAACTATAGTACCTTTCGCCCCCTTGTTCAATTACACTTTTCAGACTATATTCGCATTATCTGCGGCTCCCAAATACAACCCCACCCATGCTTGGAATGCCCCTTTGTGGATATGGTTCCACTTATTGCAGTTCAACATTGCAAACCAGATCCAAGATCCGGAGGAGGACCGCAAGAACAAGCCCTCCCGTCCGATACCTGCTGGTCGCATTTCTGTCGACAGCGCAGCTGATATGCGCTGGGTGATGGTCCCAGTTTGCTTGCTGCTATCGTTTTGGTACGGCACTCAGGCTATGCTGGCCAGCACCGTTTTTGCAGCGTTGACAATCTGGTACAACGAACTTCACGGTGATAGAATGGGATTGTCGAAGAATGCACTCACAGCCATCCTTGGTGGGTGTCTGGAGGTCGGAGCAACCGTCGCTACCGGTAAATCTATCTAGTCACAAAAAATCTATCATTTTGCTCATCAAGTGTACAGGTCCTCGCAACTCGTGCATCGACAAGGCTGGTGCTTTGGCGGTCGCACTTAGCTCGATAGTCTTTGCGACTACGCTTCATGCGCAAGATTTTAAGGACGAAGAGGGCGATCGCCTCACTGGCAGGCACACGCTACCCACAATGTTCCCCAAAGCCGCACGCTTTTCAATGATGTTCGGTCTTCCCCTCTGGTCATATGCCTTGAGTTGTATCTGGAAGATAGATGCGCTCTCTACCACTGCATTTGTACTTTATGGCGCATTTGTAGGAGTGCGGTTCGTGATGTACAACACGGTAGGCGCCGATAAGCAGTCCTGCAAATGTTATAGTGTGAGTCAAAATATTGCTTAGGAGCACACCGAGTGAAGCTGACAATGGACTCATACCAGCTGTGGTACGCGCTCGCTCATCTGCTTCCAGGTTACTGGCGTTTCTTCTATGGTGTTTGAGTATCCGGAGCTGAAAGTCACATTTGTCCCGTTCTAACTTCTAATGATATACTACTTAATAGCCTAAATGTTACATCACACAAAAAAATCAAAACTAGTCAAAAAGCTTCAAATGTTTAACCTTGGTACCATCCTCTGACGGCCGGTTGATCGTAAGTCCACACATCATCTTTCGACTCAGCGCGCCAGATCTCGTGCTTATATAATGACCAAGTCGACTTAAAAACCGTCCATCACACGCCACTCATCTTTTCCTCTAATCATCCACATAACTAGACGCTTGAAACCACCGGAGTCCACTTCTCTTCAGTTGACCTGCAGGTATGGGAACCAACGGGCACTACGTGGTCCGCTATCGGAACATGTATTATCTTTCACACCACGGCAATAGTGGTTATCCAGAGTGGCTTGGCTTAAAGGTGCTTCAGTATATACGGCAGCCCAATGCCATCGCGACCTATCAGAAAGTGTTTGGAGAGATGCTGGACGGGTTGAAGAGCCCTTCGCATTCTCTATTACTGATAGAAGGTGGTGATGAAAATTTCCATGGGCCCTCCCAGCTGCGGCCAGAACCTTGTGGCTGGACCTACGAGATTGATCTTGATCGCAATATCTTCCATGTGTGCGGCATGCCTTTTTTCTCCTTGGAATGTCTCCCAGATGACGCCGTTTTTCTCCAATACATCTCCGATGATGGCATCACTGCAGATCATTACGGCCACGCAGCTTGCCCGTTAGAATGTCCCCCGGAGAACAGATACAAAAAACCAACACCGCCAATTGTCCACAATTCTGAACTCGAGACGTACCAGTCTTTGATGTGCACCGGATCTCAAGTGGCTCTGAGTGATCTGCTCGCCGTCAGTGACGGCCTTTCTCAAGACGAGCACGTTCGGGTCACATTGCTAGAAGTCATGATTGGGCAGTGCATGTTTAGCTCAGCCATTGGCAGGGAAATCTACGAAATAGAGCTTTTAAACGACCACAACCAGATCACGGACGATCAATGGTCAATTGCATGCTTCATGGCCAGCATTACATTTATTCCTCAGATGTTCGACGACATACAGTGCATTTACCATTGCAAGCTGAAAAGAAAGGAGTTCACGTGGGTTCGCGAAGACACTGTTGTCTACATCGCAACACATCTATATGACGAGCGATGCCTACAGGCTTCTGTGTCACGTCTGATCAACGTGATCTTGGAGCAGACGAATCATTCTGGTCATTACTTTGGAATCGCGTTTTCTGTCTTCCATTGTGCAGTCGTCAAAGTCGTCAAAAACGCACACACGATGTCATTCAGCCACACGAGCGCCCTCCAATTTTTACCATCATTCTACGCTGATTCACCTTCAACGCCAGGCATCACTGCTCTCGCTCGCCTTGGATATCGCATCGACCCCGCACTTTTTCGGCGTGCTTTGGAGGCTTGTCATTATGTGCGGTACAGTGGCATTTACCTGAAGGAATCCCTCGTTCAGAGAGCTGATAGAAGTGACGATATGCCACCCACCACCATCTGTCCAACGCTGCCTCTTGAACTTTGGCGAGAGATCGCCTGTTATCTCACTCATCCCTTTCACCTCATCGTCCTCGGATTGGTCTCAAGACTGTGCCGTCAAGCAGTCTCGATGGTACTCCGCTGTACCCACCTCTGTGGCTATCGCCTGGTCTCCGCTCCCCAAGAGAGACCAGAGTATAGGAAGGAAAACCTCTCGCTACGGGCAGCATCTTTTTCCGCTGTACGAAACGGCATTCCTACTACGGTGGATGTTGGAGTGACTGGGATGCTTAACGATCGACTACCAGAGCAGCGCATGATTATTCCCCTCGAAATCAAAGATTCCTATTTTCATCTTACCCTTTCAGCCGATCCTTGACCCCGCCAGGGATGAAAAGCTTCTCTGAATAGAAAAACAAAGCTCTCGCGGTGTTTAGCACGCTGCTATCGCCGATCCGGCAGCGGTTTCCTGACCTCCTCATAGACTACAGTCCACTTAATAAGATGGCGCAATCAAGTGATTGTGCCCTCGAATCACAGCAAATACGTGTGCTACAGTTATGCCCGTGTATACAGAATATCACGCATCAATGCCATCACTATGAACGGGTGCATACAACGTGATTTCTGAATTCTCTTTTAAAAGGCCTACTCAGTACTACTAAACCACTGGTTCTTCTGAGTCAACCGTTATTTCACAACTCGTGATAATTTTGAGTGTATGTAAATCATTTCTAGCTATTAGCCTAGCTTGTGATCACAATGCCTGGACAAAATAACAAGAATAAGAACGAGCGTGCAAATGCAGAAGTGCCAGACCAACTACGCTTGCGCGACAAGACCTTCACCACAGGGAATAAGTTCCGGTGATAAGAAAGGAGAACGTGCCATATCAAAATAAAAGTCCATGTAGGCGTGAGGGCGTTACAAAAATCATCATTGCGCGGGGAACATGTGTTGTGATGGAAGTCACCCGCGCCTTCGTGAGGTGTTGAGAGGAAATTGCATATGTGAGAAATAATGTTCGATGCGAAATATGTGGTAGAAAGCGATCATGATACATGCGAACTTCTCGCTACAGGGAGGGACATGTTGTGGCTTAGCCCAGGAGTCATGAGCTCAGCAGCTACCTCCTTCACTCTGCTGGCGCTCAGAGGAGTCGATGGTCTTGTTGACGGTGGACTCGGCAATGCAGCAGCAGTTGTATGTGCCCTCGTTCGGATAAATGACCTGTAAACCAAGATATACTTAGGTACAAGGACGAGTACGACAGCACTCACGTTCCAATTTTGATCAGTTCGCTCAGGTGTGCGTGTTTCCTAGCCTCCATCATGTACATGGTTGTATGCAAAATCCCATCTACACCTTCTACGTACAATGCGATTTGTTCGAGAGTCGGGTTTTTAGAGATGGTGAGGAACAAGTCATTCCATATCGCCGGTAGTTGCCCTTTAAGACTGCGTAGCTTGGGGGCATGGCTCAGAGCCTCAGCCAAAGGCCTGGTGGCTGGTGTCGAACTGATTTTGAGAGCGTAGTGAGCGGACTCCTGAGAACATTACGAATCAGTATGCAGCGATCGATACGGAAAATAGAGTCTCATACAAGGTTAAACCAGCCGGGTACAGCCTTTGCAATGCGCTCAAGAAGGTATTTTGGGCGCGTAAGTGTGAGATAAGCATCTGAAGTTCTGCGAATGGTAAGATGCTTCAAGTCTATTTGGTCTAGTGCGTCGCATAGGGCTTGGGCATCCTGATCATCTGCTGCATCTCCCTGAGGATTAGCTTCGTAAACATCTATACAAATATCCACATCTTCGATCCTTTCACACGCCCGAAGTACACGAGCGCCCTCTAGCGACACGCAGCCCAGCACAACACGACGTACTGCACCAGCAAGAACCGGCTGGGCGACAAGCGTCTCGAGTACGCGGGCAGCATGGGCAGCCGTCGGAAGGTGGAGGGTCTGATAATATATGGGAGTACCGATGCGGAGGAACTGCCGGGAAACAAGCAAGGGCGAAAATCGGGCACGTGTACTAGTGTAGGGTGTCGGACGGGCTAAGGATGAGGGACATGGAAAGAATATTGGTTGGATGTGCCAAGGTGGACGAACTGGGAATACTTGAGGAGGAATTACACAATACGCAAGTATACGAGCGAGAAGCTCTTCTGGGAATGAAGATAGCGAGGTCGGAACCTGTGTAGATGCCATCTATTGCTCGAAGCTTGAAAGTTTAACAGACGACTTGCTCGCGAGTTTTTTGTTGATGTGGTATACTCCAGTCCAAGACTGCGAAGTTGACTGATTGCAAAACAGTCTAACAGACTATATATAGGCGTCCGCTTCATCGCGGAATTGTAAAAGGAAAATTGCGTTGTTCGAATATCATTGCATTATCGACCCTGTCAGGCTTTTACATACGAATTCGTCTCTCCAGGCAGACCATGGCTGAAGCTTGAAGCGTTGATGAGTGAAGACAATAAGTACTCCATCCTTACATTGCTAAATCTACCATAGCACTAACACTTCATGTACACGCAGCACGTCAAATCAATGCTCTGCAAGTTAATGCAGCTTGTCACTTTACAGCCAGCGCGACAGTAGCAACCAACCTTCGCTTTGACCCTGTTCTTCTTCGCATCTACTGCAAAGCCACCTTAGTGTAACGCATCGGTACAACAAGGATCATGAGAGCTTCAGATTGACAAATACCGCGTCGCTGTCAAGGGTCAGATTTCCGCCCAGGCTCGCAGCCGGTACTTAATTGGTGCTGACTGTCCATGGGTAGGTGAACAGATGTTAGGTACATCATTTACCCGCTGAGATATTAGGCTTCAGCCGCGCTGCACTCGCGAAATTGTCGGAAAAATGATTTAGTTGGCCTGTCATAGAAGCCTGGCCCATCGAAGTATGCGCAATCGACCAATAAAACGTGCGTCGAAATGCACTGCCATGGGCTCGCATTTCAGATTGACATAACGCATCAGGTTCTCTACGCCTTCAGCCGAAATCTGGGCCATGGTTAACTTCCTGGCGGTACTAGAGGGGCAGGATATTGCAGTCAGGACCGACTCGCCATCTGCTGCCGAAACAATTCTTTCTTCATCAGGCTATACTCCACGAGCTACCAAAATACCGTACGGGATAGCAACTCGGTGTGCTGAGACAAAGACAACGGTGAGGTTGCCGAAAAAGCTCAATAACTGTGGTTTTTCTGATTTCATGCTACCCGTACATCTCACTATCCTGCGTCACAAAATTTCTTCCATACATCACGACTGATGAATAATCATACAAGCATTCGATGCGACGAGTTACAGTAACAGCAACCAGGCCTCCTTGCATTCTGACACACCTCAACATACCTCTGCGAATAGCCAGTACTTCCTCTCGTAGTCCTGAACACCCGGGGGAGGAGCCGGAGCAGTAACGATCTAGAGCGACATCAGTTATAAAGCCCCTTTGAAAAATCACAACAAACAAACCGGGGTCCAGTCTTTGCCTTTATTGAGGAGCCACACTTCGTCGACGTTCATGATATGGATTCTACAGATAAAGGGGGCGAATGAATTTTCGTTGCCAGCAACAATGATCATACCCACATATATTTTTTGTCGCCCTCGGTGGAGAACTGGAGCTCCTGGGAATCGTCGCAGCCCACGACGTTACCTGTCTATCATTTCACGCCGTTAGAAATCTCTTGCATATCAACACAAGATGAACAAACCTCATTATCGATGACAATATACTTGTTCCTCAATTTATCAAAAAGAGTCCCAAGACCCATAGCTGCGTTCGTGACATTGAGGTGGACCTATGGGCATTGATGAGTATAGAATCTACGCCAATGATGCAATGCGTACAATGTCAGCCTCCTCATAGCCAACAACTGTGCCGTCGGCTTTCATGTGGATAAACCTGTCGGTATGCAGAAAATTCTGAATTTTGTAATCGCCAGAAGGTAGCATGGTGTGAGATGTATTGAAAGTTTATTCTGCTGAGTATTGAGTGAGAGATAGAGGCTGATATTAACGGCAGGATAAGTTGCGACCTTTATACCTGCCTGAAGGCTGCGTTACGCTCCAGATGCTGGTATCAACATTGCCCATTACCTGAGTTCCGGTCTTGAGTGGCGGCTCTGGAATATCATGTGCCAGATTCCATTCTAGCCGTCTTCATTAAAGCGCAAGGGGCATGTTCATTATTGACCTAGTACTCTTTCCCTGCCTACGGACCATGATTCTTGATCGCTCTTCTTACCGCACGATCTCTATAAGGCTACGGCACATGTATTAGCCTGTCAGAGGTGATGTCATTTTCCATCCAGGCTGTCATGACCCGAACACTGTGCAGCAGTTGCTTGAGATGAAGGAGCCTGGCCGTATATGACACTGTTCAGTGACGTGTTTTGCGTCATCAGTTCTTGAATTTCATAAATTGTCCCGATTGTAACTCGCCGCGTCAGTACATGAGGTTGGTGGGGGAGCAACGGTGCCGGCCCACATGATTACAGTTCGATTGCGGTTCGAACCAAATTTGGACAATATTTCCATTGAGCACATTATATCAACAACAGCCAGCATGAAAGATGCAAGATGGGCCCACAGAGTTAGGGAGCGTCCAAGTGGTATGATTCCTAAGAGAAATCTAGACTCTAGAGATTGGCGGAGCCAGAGGGGGGCGTCCTCCATGTTTCCGTGTTGGATCTAGCTTAGAGAACCTGAGGTCCAGATATTAAAAAAGTAGAGCCGACGCAACCGGAGTAGTAATAGTGACGAGTTGAACGTGGACACCTGACATGGTGAAGAACTTGTCAATATCCAATTACTTGACATCTATGAACGAGACCTACCGATAGCATAGTCCCAGCGCCAACGATCTTCTGACCTGGATACAAATGGTATCAGACTTTTCGAACTGCGGTAGTAGCGGCACACCAGTATCATGCTGCACGCTGCACAAACTTGCTCGGACTTGCTCGGAAGCACCTTGTCATTAGCTTCGACGTTGTTTGCCAAAAGCCTTTGGTCCAAACAACCGGATTCAGTGGTACGCACTATTTCAAATTGGCAGACGTCACGTGCATTCACCCGTCTCTGCAAACGGAACGTGGGTGGTTGCTGAATTCATTGCGACTCGGCGTCGGGCGAGTTTGCCGTTTTTCAGCTGACAACATAGCTTGGCCGGCCGTGGTTGTGAGCCGAGCAGTTAGGATACGTCACAGAGTCTGAAGTTTACGCAGATGGATCATATCACTGACTCGTGAATTCACTGATAGTCTGGTTTGAAGCTCCGATCCTCTAATTCTCCACTCAGTCAGCAGACCTCACCTCCTGGCCATGCTCATTCATGATAGAAGCATACAGTCAAGCCATCGAGTTCGTATCCCGATAGCGTTCGCACTGGATATTTGATCCCGCCTCAAGACCCTTGATTAGTGATTGGGTGAAACGGTGCGAAATGAAGTACAACGCGTAACTTGGCCTTCGATTGAATCAATAGTGGCGTTCAAAGTAATTTCCTGAAAACTCGGTAAGCTCGGTAAGCTCTGTGAAACGTCGGCTAAAGTATCTTGAGTTTCGCTGAAGTTCAGGGTTAGTCAAGTACGGCGAACATCGGCATGTCGTCGGAGTGTTAAATGTAATCCTGCCCTACGACCACGACTTCGTCGGTCTGCACGCCTGCAGACCATCTCTCAAAACATCAACGTACCGTGTCGCAAGGACAACAGGAAACAAATGGACCCACCAACTCGTGGAAGGGGGAGACGGGGAAGGGGAGGGGGAGGGGGTAATATACAAGACTCGTCACCAGCCACGATTTCGTGGCATAACGTCCCTATGCGCACCAACAAGCTCGTCGATTTCCTCGTCGAGCATCCGCCAGACTGTGCCATATTATTTGCGACCGAGAGTAAGAAGTCCAGCAACTATCACGCTGACTTGGGCCGTGCATCGGGCAAGGACAAAGGGGAGATCTACAGTGTGATTGCAAAGGTAATCTTTCACGACGATGCTACGTATGGGAGTTGGTATGCCACCAACCCCATCAAGTTCCGTGACTCTGTGGCCAATCGCATCGCATCGTAAGTACTTCTCCGTCTATCGCAACTGTGCTAACTGGATGATCTGAAGTCTACGGACTAAATTCCGCGATATTCGTGCCGAATTCGAGTCTACAGGTGCGGGCATCGTGCCAATTGACTCGGAGACGTCTGACAACTTACATCGTGAGTATCCCACTCATGTCTTATCGATACCGCTAACAAAATTCGTAGGTAAAATCGAGAAAGAATTTCCATGGTACAATGACCTCTACCGGATATGGGGATCCAACCCCTCGTTTTCTGCCAAAACGAGCTCATCGAAACCAGGTGCTGACCACGCCGGTGACCTATTCGCGCTAACTCGTCCTGCGGGAGGTTCACGGAACCCTCCTTCAGGCACCCATCCGCAACTCAACATAATTATCCCTAACCCTGCCATAGGCAGTGCTGGTTCCCTGCAGCTCGATTACACGGTTCGTCCCTCGGGTCCTTCTACCTCACGTGCAGGTGACAACACTCACGTCCAACAAACGGACTATGCCCGCCCTCCTCCTAGTGTTGGAGGCAGCTCAGCTGACTCCCCTGTGCAAACACCTTATGTGCCTCTTCCCCGAAGTGGTCCTGTTACCCCCCTGGAACCAAACCACTCCCCTCAATACGCTCAGGGAGCCAGCGGTGCTGGCTCCTCCCCACAACGGGGCTTTTCTCAAGCTCCTGCAAGCAACTGTGCAGGCAGCACGACAAGCTCCCCCCTCCACTTCGGCCATACGCCCCTTCCTCCCAGTAGCCGGTCATTCGGCCATGAAGATTATTCTCCGGCCCCCCTGGGATTTGATTATGACCCACCTTTTGATGATGGCCCCCTTGCTCATGGTATGGGGGACCTTTGTATGGACGACACAGACGAAGTTCATCGTGACGAGGAGAATGTATATAATTTGGACAGCCCGCCCAGATCGAAAAAGGCGCGCGGAAAGAAGCGGCAGCTACCTTCCTCTCCCACTCCGTCGCCTCCCAAGGCACCCCCTCCCCGCACCTCCAACCACGACAGTCGCAGCTCATTCAAGTCCCACGTCAATCACGTCATCATGCGCGAGAGCGCTTCTTCCCCCACCTCTTCATCGAAGGCTTCGTTGCAACGGTCCAATCCGTCCTCCCCTTGGCAGGCGTCTCCGACGTCCCAAACATCGCTCTCCGAGAGACCGAGCAGCAGGGAGTCGGTGAAGAAGCGTCTCCGAATGGAGGTTCAGGAACAAGTTGAGATGTTGAATGACGACTTAGAGAGAGTGCACTCCGAGAAGCTCACCTTATACCAGCTCAAGAACGAGCGCCTGATGGTCAAGCTCAACGCCAATCGCCAAGACAAGGAGCACCATTTCATACGCGAGGAGCGCGCCCACGAGCGCGCGGACGCTGCGCTCGTCCATCAACGGCTGCAGGAGAGCAAGGACCAGGAGATTCGTTTGCGGGAAGCAGATGCGAAGGCTCTTGAGTTAGAGAGGCAGGTGATGCTCTTGCGCATTGAATATGCCAAGATCAACAAGCCATGATGTTCCTGCGCGCACTTCATCATATGTTTTTTTCGCTGTTTCTTTTTGCTACATGTTGTCATTTGTTTGCCGCTATTTGATAATCCTACAACCTACTTACTAGCATGTATGTAGTACATTTTTATGTCAAAGCTATACCTGTTTCAACTTATCCTTGCCTATGCTGAGCATCTGAGTGAGGACTGTCAAACAATTGATCCATCAACCTGGCCCTGTGTGCTTGACCAGGAGTGCCTGCATATGAGCTATCACCCACCACTTCATTACCATCTGGTCCTTCATATTCTGGATGCAGAGTATGTTTCCCTTCTTGAATGGCCCATCTGGTTGTAGGTTTGTTGCGTTTTTCTTCAAATTTGATGATCATATTGTGAAGGATAAGGCAACACCTAACCCAATGCAGAGTAATCTGGAGGTCTTTCTGGGTCTGCATAGGGTGACAAAGCTCCTTAAGAGACTGAAAACGCCCCTTCAAAGCAGCAAATGTGTGCTCGACGCGGACACGGACCTAGATGAATTAAAATCAATGAAAATCAGTAAAAATTCCAAAAAATCAGCAGAAAAATTAGAAGATACCCTAGATAGGTGAATATTGAAGGTCTTCTGGTCCCTTGTCAACCTGCCATTCCGAGGCTTCTTGAAAGGTGGAATACACCACTTCTCAAGTGGATATGCACTATCAGCCCAAATCCAATGGTCATCAGGAAGAAGTGTGTCGTGTTCCTGGTAAACACGAGTAGATTTAAAGGCATAAGCATCGTGTGTACTTCCAGGGTGACCAAGTGAATAGTCGGCAATGAGGAGATTATGGGGCATAATGATTGCCTGAATTTTTCATTAGTTTCTAACCGTTAGAATAAGAGAGAGAAAATACCTGACAGTTGAGGGAATAGTTAGACTTCCTGTCATAAAACGCCTCACCATAAAGACCAGGTTTTTCATACAAATTAATAGCGGAGCCATCAATTGCAAGGATACCATTTCTCCACTCTGGGCAAGACTTGGCCTCAACATATTGCCGAGCACGCTCAGCATCCTCAGAGTCAGGAGCAGGGAAATGAATGAATGTGTCATGCTGATCAAGGAGGGCAATCATCACACGGTTACTGCAATTGATTACCGATCCAACACTGACACCAGCCCATTGGCCCACATCATCTGGTGAGATAGTGTTGCCGTAATGGCCAGCACGGTTGAGAAATATAGCCAGTTGAATGGCAATGGGAAGTTGAGGGTTGTTTGACCGGTTAGTGAAAATAGGGTGATCAGAAATTTGATCGAGGATATCATCGAAGATGTCAGGATTAACGCGTAATTTCTTGCGGAAGAGGTGGTGCCGAGAGTGCCCAAAGTCATGAAGGAGCTGAATCTG